GCAGCTCATTCAGCGCCAAGAGATTAAATCCTGAACCAAGCACCAGCCAGCGTTCTCAAATACGGTAATGGACGCAATTCAAAGTTGGATGTCTCGGCCACAGATTAACCTTATGAGCTTTCTGCTGGCCTCTCAATCATTCTCAAAACTCACACGTACTCATATTTGCAAAACACTGCCTTTAATTTTCTGTTTGTCTCTAGAAAGAGTAAAAGAATTTCCATCACATTCCCACAATTTACTGCAAGGTTTAGGAATAGATTCGTAAGCCAGTAGTTATATCAGCACTCTTTCAACCTCTCCTGTAAAACCGAGAAAATAAAAGCCATGTTCAAATCTAAAGATTTTTTGTGGTAGTGCCTCCTTTACCAATCCCAAAAATCATACGGTCTGATTACTATTTGCTCATAATGGATTTTTCAAACTTTAATGCTTCCTTTTTCGATTTGTGCATTCCAAGCTGACAACAGCGACTGTCATTAAGCTTTTGAAAATGTTAAACGACTCGCACTTAAAAGCCACTTGTTGTTAAGTGTTGTAGCCTGTCTTCTGCATAAATTTTTTACCTCAGCTTGTGGCTGCAGCTCATTGTCTGCTCCACTCAAGAAACGCTTAACAAAAATCTTTTTCATCTGAGCAAACTAGAGGAAATTCTGCAGAACGTCTGCAGCGATTTTCGATACTTCACATCTGCACGAGCATTTTTCTTTTAAATTTTTTGCATTTCCTCGTTTTCTTTCAAAGAACACTTAGAGCTTTTCAATTCCAAATATTGCAAAAGAGATCGCCGTCTACTTGCGTCAAAGATTTCAAAAAGAACTTAAGACCTGCTATGCATCTGAATTTTGAAAAATACGCTAAACAAGAACAAGTTTTAAAAATAAATAAGTGGGATTATTCATGTGACCGCATGATAAACGTAACTTTTTGGAGAAGTGCTAAGCTATACATCTAATTTCCTTGTCGGGTAATGGAACAGATACTGCCATTAGGTGCCGTGTTGGTATGCAATAGCACGCGCGAAAGGACCAGCAGTCCACAGAGGCGGCGCTTATTGGCGGAATTCGTTCCTCGCCAGCCCTCTTTAACAGCTCCTCCCCTCTTTTTCGCTGTAGCACGTCCCGTATAAGCTTTTAAACAGATTTCATTGCAAAAGAAATAAAAATAATAAGAATGATTAAAAAATAAGCAAAAATAGATAGTGCAGTATTTGTACTCACATAAGTGGATCCATCTGGTTGACGTGCATCAAGAGGATAACCTTGTTGATGTAAGCTTTTCATATCATCTAACATTGCCTTTTCAGGAGCACCACGTTGATCATCGATATAGGCCTGTAAAGTTACAACAATCAATATATCGATTAGTCAATCGACGAAATATTGATTGATTATTTGATCTACCTGTGTGATACCACGAGCAGCCATTTCACTTTCTATAGCGTCAAGCGTTGTTTCATCATCACAAATATCATAGGGCATATTACCATCAGCATTAACGGCTAATAAATTTGCACCACTAAAATAATCAATAAATTGCGAAAAGATGCGATCGATATATTGATCGAAACTCACTTTGCTATTAGGATTTTCACAACATTGATATGAGCACAACATGCGGCCGCATGTAATGGAGTCCATTGCTCTGTATCTTGAGCGTTAACATCAGCACCGTGGCTTAACAGTAACAGCATGATCTGAAAAGAAAAATCGATAAAATCAATAAAATGAGGACTGAAGGATCGTAATGAAAGAAATCAATTTATCGACACGGTAATGTATAGGTATACGGTGCTAAGATTTTTTTAGCTGTTCGCGTATGAGTTACGCAGGTTATACAACTCAGAGGCATCGTAACCGCGCCGCTTCAAGGGCGCTGGAGCCAACCATATTTTCGCAATCTTTGATCTTGGTCTAGGGTTACGTCTTGAGTCCGGGCAACAGCAGAGCCGGCACCGTGCTAGCGCCGTGCCACAATGTCGATCAATCAATATAAGGCGCGCACAGCGTTGGCGCTGCGATGCAGCTTCGGCACGGCGCTGGCACAGCATCGG